GAGGAGGAGGAAGAGGAGGAGGAAGAGGAGGAGGAGGAAGAGGAGGAGGAGCAGGAGGAGGCTGCGGCTCATCAGGCGAGCAGCAGGTTTTAATAACTCCTGACTCTTAAAAACGAGCAACAACTGAAGTTTAGACACCGATTGGTAAACTGCGTCGGTTTGAATCTGTTCCGGTAACTCCGGTACAACCACAGTGTTCACTCAGAGGTCGTAACAGGAAGCTGAACATCCTGCTGCCTCTCCACTGAAACTGTGAGCGCCGCTGATAATAATGTGGACGCTTTAAGACAAAGGACTGTTCAAACTGGGTCCACACGGCGTTTCCGCAGTCAGAGATAAACTGATATTAATGAATCACCAGCGTGAGCAACAATATCAGAGCGGTAACAGACGGAAAGCACTTTCTGTTTTTATGCCTCTAAACTGTTGAACTGACTCTCGGGACAGTAAAAAGGAAATTAAAGACCTTTTTAATCCGGCTTTTAATTTGGTTTTTACATTATTATTATTATTAAACCGTGTTTGGCTTCACTGAACAGTTTCGACTATAGTAGGAAATATTTATAAAATGTCTCTTAATCAGTTCCCTAAATGATAGAAAGGGTCCTTTAAGGAAACGAGTTGGGCAGCAGCTTAAAGGAGGATGCTTTGTGTCGGTGCGAGCAGGTCCAACAGGTAGCAGACTGTTTGGTATAAAGTGTTTAACAGGACGTGAACAGACTCCTTAAAGCGCTCGGGTTTATCCCAACAGGCTGTTGTTACAGCGAGTCTTATCTTGGAGCCTCACACTCGAAGGTCAGGGGGTCGGCGCTCTTATCTCCTCCTCTGGCAGGCACACGGGAGGCACAGTGTCGTAAATCAATGCCGCCTCTGCTCCGTCTGCTGCGATTCAAGCTGTCGGTTCCTTTCTTCTAAAGTCTGGGCTTCTTTTTGTGACTTTTAGAGAATATAACATAAACAATAAAGGCATTATGGGAATTGCAGCTGCTACTGTAGTAACGAGAGTAACGAGAAGCGGTAATCGATGCAGCCTCCTAAAGATAATCGCCTTCAGTCGGCAGGGAAGAAGTTCTGTTACTGAACCAACAACACAAGGACTTCGAGACACAAGCTCAAATTTGTTCTGTTTTTGTCTAGAAGATCCAGAAAGTAGTGAGAAATGTTCACGACGATCTCCCAGAGCCCTTAAATGGTTCATTTTGTCAAATACAAACCCGAAGAAATTGAATTCACACTGATAACTGACAACTACTCCACTTTAGAGGCTTAAAGCAGCAAATGTTTGGCATTTCTTTTAGGAAAACGAACGAGACCAGATGCTGGTTGCAGCTCTGAGCAGCAGAGAAGCATCCACACGTCGGTTCTCCTCGTCTCGGAGACTCAAGCAGACTTCCTGCGGGACGTTCCTCGCGTTCCTCGCCGTGTGGACGCAGCGTAAGACAGTCGCAGTGGACTACACAGACTCCCTGTTGGCTTTAACAGACGGGACACAACGGAGGTCCTGCTCCTGCTGACTGAAGGGGAGCAGATGAAGAGAAGGACAACAGGGAATGTTTGTTATTCCAGGGATCGGGACACTTTGTCTTTGAATGGACTCGTCACGTCAGCAACTTAGTCAAAGCACACCTGAGCTCCACTGACCCGCTGTGTTTTCACTGTTAATGCTCTTTATTCGGCCGATTAAACGTCAGAAAATTGTGGAAAACAGCATCACAACTACCTAAAGCCTGAGTCGACATATTTAAATTGCCTATTTTGTCGGATTAAAAGTCGAAATTGCACAAATATTACATTTCACTATTAAATCAGACTAAGAAAACTAGCAAATATTTACATTTTGGAAGATAAAACACATTAATTTTGCCACTTTTCCCCAAAAATATGACCTAAAACCTGTTTCCTGCTGTGTTCAGACTCTTCAGTGTGGAGCCGTAAAGAGTCACACTGTCACTGAATCCACCTGCCGACCACACATCCATTGTTAATGACGCAGCTTCAGCAGACTTCAGAGGGCAAAGTCTCAGTGATAGCAGCAGGAGTTGGCTCTTTGTGTTGTTGTAACACAGCGGAGGGGGGGGGCGGGGGTGGGGTTGGCATAAAGGTATTACAGAGCAGATCGAAGCCAAGTGGGGTTTTGGTCTGGGATTCTGTGGACGATGGTGATTACTGTTCAGGATTTCTTGCCAGGCGTTGAAACGGGGTTAAAGTTTCATTTAATACACGGACGAAAACGATTGAAAGACTGAT